CAGTGTCATGCATCTGCTTCTCTTTACACCTCCTTGAGGTGAGTAAAGTGAACAATGTTGCCCACTTAATAATGACCCTACTGTGCACTGTTTACTGATTTATTCACAATCTCACAAAGGCAGCAGGAGACACAATAAGTTTGGTCTGCCCACAAAATACAAATCTATTTCTATTCTTATTAATCCCACAAAAACCCTATGAAATGACTATTATTATAATACAGTCTTTAAAGATAAGAGTTAAAGCTCAGATGGATTAAGTAACTTGCTCAGATTTCATGCCGGCATCATTCTTTAACTCTGATGCCTATATTCAGAATAAGACTTATTTAATCTTTCCATCTTTTGTTCATTTATTCCTCACTGCATGTCTATCCTGTGCCTAGCAATTTACCAAGCACGAGATATGGATGAAAAACAGAATTTCTACTCTCTAGCATCTCATAGTTCAGGCAGGCAGGGAGGATACTAAATCTGAGTTTTCTTGAGTGTGATAAAGGACATGAAAGGGGTATGCAGAGCATGTGATGGAAACAGAGAAGAGGAGAAATCAATTAGGCCCTGGTGAGTGGTGGGAGTGGTAGGGGTAGGAGATTCTTCTAGAGAGGAAATGATGTCTGAGCTGTTCCCTAAAAGGCAACTAAATGATGCGCAGGCTAATTAAGGAAGACATGCATTTTAAATAATACAGAGGGCAGTAGCCCAGGAGGGTGGCGGAGAAATGCATATTTAGGGACCTGCACATAATGATAAATAATACAATTTTGTGCCATTACTTTTGTGCAAGGTACTGTGCTAAGTGTCTTACATGTGTTATTTAACTGAATCTTCATCTAAAAACCCCATATAGTAGGAACCCTTCTTATTTTTATCTGAGTTGAGGAAAATAGAAGCTAAATGGCATGCCTTGGAATTATCCAAAGATAATAAGAAGCCAGGCTGGGATTTAAGCCCAGGCCATTTGGATATCATAATTTGTCAGCTTTACCAGTCCATTCCACTCCAGTGATTCTGTTAGGCCAGAATGTTGAGGCAGGGAAGAATGGCAAGAGATGATGCAGCAAAGGTGATTTTATTTTGCAGGCTCCAGTGAGCATCTGAGGGATTTTAAGCAGGTGTGTGCTATGCTTAGATGTACATTTTAAAAGCCTCTGTGGAATGTGTGAAGCATGGTTTAGAAGGCCAGATTGGTGGCAGGGAAACTAGGCAGGAAGCTAGGGCACTGTTCCTGGTGAGGGATGACAGATTTTGATCTCATATGGTGGCAGTAGAGATGGAGAGAAGGTGGATGCCAAAGATAACCCTGGCAGCTGATTGGAGAGGGGTGATGATAGGGTAAAGGCAAAGAGAGGGAAGTAAGAGGAGTCTAAGATTATCCCTGGGCTTCTCTTTCAGTTGAATTGGTAAGGTGTGACATTCTCCAACAAAATATGGAACATAGAATAATGAGAAGAAAATGATGAATTTAATTTTAGACATACTCAGTTTGAAATGTCTAAGGGACATCCATGAGGGGATGTGTACTAGTCAGGCTGAATATGAATCAATGTAGTTATCATGTGACAATCATGGGTCTGGATATTAGCACATGGAAAGAGAAAGAGCAAGAATGGGAGCCAGAAAGGGGAAAAGGTGAATGAGCAACAAAATTTAGCCAAAATAGCATTGAAAAGGCTAGAAGAATGCAAAGATTCCAGAAGAAGACTAAAGAAAAGGAGAAATATGATCAACAAGCCAGGATAACAGTTTCAAGAAAGAGGTAGAAGTCAAAGGTACCCAGGGTCACAGGGAGCAATGTCAGAGTAACAAAGACTTATTTCACTGACTGCTGTATGATGACCCTGTCCTGAACCCCTTGTGAAGTCTCTCAGGTCTACACAACATGGTTGCCAACATGGTGCTAGTGGAATTGACAATGGCTAACTTTGGAGAGCACTTTCTTTGTGCCTAATGTTTACCAAGTCCTTTGCTCTTAATATTTCATCCTTAATTCTACAGATAAGTTTTTCCTTTAGAAAGAAGAAGGTGGGGCACATTAACTATAGCAACAGAAGGTGTTCTGGAGGATACTGGGTGCTTAAGATTCCTTGTTATTTCAAGATGGAAAACCTCTAAGTAAACCAATAGATGTGAAGTTTATTTTACTTACACAATGGCATAACAGAAATATTTCATCCTCAGGATAAAATAGCTTATAGAAAAATGGCCATTATTAGTTAATAATTTTGATCCATTGGACTTCCTACTCCAGAGTCCTAATTTTGCCATTGGCAGTAACATAAATGGTCATGCGGAACAGGCACTACTGGGGTAGAAGTCCCCTTTTCTGGCCTCCTATAGCACTCACTACAAACCTCTGGCGTTAGTCTTGTCTTGCTGGATTAAAATTATCTATTAAAATGATATCTTTTTAAGTTATGTATGTTCTGCCAAGGATCAGACTTTTCATCATTTCCCCAGTGATGTCTGGCAGTTGCCTAGAAGGAAGCAGACATTCAACAAATGTTTGGAGAGAATCGATTTTTTTATCCAGTTTTTTCCATGACACAACACATGGCCCACTTTAGCAGGAGAAATTTAGACTGAACTCTTTAGTAAGAGTTCAAGTGTCAACAGCCAACCAAGAAAAATGAATGAGAAAATAAAGTTTTGGAAGGTTACTATCTTTCTCAGGAAGAATTGCTTGGAGGACAGGGCTACTGAAATCAAAGTTCTTTTATCAAACTGGACAAGTTGTGCCTTTGGACATTCCCTTGTGTGTGCCCATTACCATTAATAAACTTCCCTTCCTGCCCTTTGACATGGATTCAGAGTCCCAAGTGAAATATCACATTGGCCGAGCCTAAATTTTAGTCTCTATTCTAGCTACCGAGGACTGGGACAGGGATCATATTCTTACCTGAAAGAGGTGAATCCTCCCTCTTAATTATGACACATCATGGGGACAGGGCCCCAGAAAGAAAGAGGCTTTGGATCCTAGGTTGCCAAAGCAACAGAAATGTCCATTAACCTGGCTGAGATGGTTCTGAGTCATTGCTCAAAAGGATAGCCCTCCTTAGAATTTAAAGTATAAATAAAATAGACTCCTGGCTGTCTGAAATGGTTTAGACAATAGTTCCTCTGTGAGGCAGAGATGGATTGAAATACAATGTATTCCCACATGGCCATCATCATCTGAAATGCTACAAATGCCTTCATGTCACGGTCTTATCACAGGAAGCCTCAGAGATGGAATCTAGAATTACATTTTTTTTCTTTTTTCTTTTTTGTCTTAGGGTTTCGTTACAGTGAAGTTGGTAAGGAGATACATTTTTTCCCTAGATTCTGCTGTTTCTTGTTTGCAAGTGATACTATGCACTGCAGTATAGCATCTGTGTTTCAGAAAAACACGATGTGTGAAAACAGTTTTCAAAAATGTGTGCTGTCTAGATAAAAAGAAAACCAAAAATACGTTTGGTTACCACTTTATAGAGCCTATTGAATTTGGCTGTGAATGGGAATCTAATTGTCATCCATTTCTAGTGAAGCCTTCCATGAACATTGCATTTCCATTATAAAGGGAAGAAGCCATAAAAATAAATAATGACCAGTTGATTGTTTAATAATTTACATCTCTTCTTGATAGACCACTAAAGGAAGTAAGCAGAGCCTCGGGTACAGAAAATGTCCCGCATTGTCAGTAAAGGGAAAAGGAATGCTTTTACTGAAGTGTTACAAATAGTTCCCTTGTTTTGAATGATAACTAATGATTATTCTCCTAATCAGAGAAGTCTTCATTACTTGTTCTTGTTACCATGGGATTAGTATAAAAATATTAGGACTTTCAATGCTATATTTGAGGGCCTAGGAAATTACACGGCTTCGAGGGGTCAGACTTAAACTGTATTTGTTGCAAAAAAATGTATTCAATCCTCCCGACAATAGCAAGAACAAATAGTGTATTATTTCTGTAAACTTGGTAACTTAAACGTGCATGATCAGCATTCCTTATTCCAGTGATTTGAATGACCAGCATCCACCTGATGGCTTGGCCAGTCTTTTCTTTGTAATGATTTTTAATTTCTTTTTTTGATGAACAGTTGTCAAAGGGAAGGGTCTATTTTAGCTGTTCAGATAAGGAAATTTGCAGTTAATAAGGTAAAAGCACAGAAAGATGCCAGATGAATATTGCTTACAGCACAGCTCCAATCAATAGCTCCCCTGATTTAGTGTCTCTAACTCTCCGCTAATTAAGCCCAGAGTTCTATCACTGGACTTCACAGGTCTTCATTCTATGGCCTCTGCCTATCTTCTGATATCTTATTCTAGTTTTTCCCCCTCTACTGTACCTATAATATAATCACATTTAGTGGTTCTTAATCCTGCACATTACAGTCACCTGGGGAGCTTAAAAACAAAAACCAAAAACTGTTCCCAGACATGCTAGTTGAATCTGAGGGCCAAAAACAGGCACCAACTTCTTATTACGTTTTTGTTTTAATTTTGTGGGTTTAAAAAACTCCTTATTTTGGTTGTCTATTATTACAAATCAAACTCCAAGATTCATTTTTGTAAAACAATGAACATTCTATTATGCTCCCAAATTCTGTCGGTGTGATGGCCTTTGAATCCATCCTGATGGCTGTGATGTCTCAAGTCTCTGTTGAGACAACACAAATGGTAACTTAACTATTCCACAGAGAAAGGTGAAACCATAAGGCTTCTTATCCACCCACCTTGCCTTGGCAGGTACAGTCTTTCAGATTTGGAGCAGGGGCACTTCTCCATAGGAACTTGGGGCCACATTTTAAAGTTGTTACACACACACACACACACACAGGGGATTCCAGTGTACAACCAGAGTTACGAATTATGGATTTGTTTTTATAAGCACTAGACTACAGAGCAGGGCTGGGAAGGGGGGGGGGCAGAGCCTGTCCCCCCGCGGGGGCGCCTGCTTGTTGCTAAGTGCAGGGAGGAGTCCGATCGGGCGCGTCCGCCGAGGAAGGGGGCGGCGAGAGCGAGAGCGAGCGGGAGCGGGCGCGGGCGCGCGGAGAGAGGAGGTGCGGGAGCTAGCGCCCGCCCGCCCGGAACCCCAGCCCGCGATAGCGCAGCGCCCGTCCCCGCAGGTGCATCCTCCCGGCCCGCCCGCGTCGTCCTGCTCCGGAGGATGGAGGAGTCCCGGGAGACATCGCCGTCCTCCAACTCCTCACAAGAGCTCAGCTCTGCACTGCAGCTGTCCAAGGGCATGTCGATCTTCCTCGACGTAAGTACGGAGGGCAGGAGTTGGGGGGCTTCCCAGCCCACTCCTCTTCCCCTGAGAAGGAGTCCCGACTTAGTGCTGCCCGGCCGGGGTTAGTCCCCAGACACAGATGTGAACTCCTCCTTGTCCCCGAGCCCCCAGACAGCCACCAGGGCAAAAAGCACGGGAAAAGACTCGCTCAACTTGTGGAAGGGCTGTCCCAGACCTGCGGCTGGGGGATTAACAGCTCTAACGACGTCCTCACGTTAGGCTTCCCAACAGCTGGGGGTTTCCATTCTGTGGTACTCAACAGCTCGTCCCTCTCGTGTCTCTTTGCCGAAGGCGACCTCGTTGGCCTGCAGGGCAGGGAGCGCAGGGTTGGAGATGGCCTGCCCTCGGCCCTACCCAGCGCTTGGGAAACAGTTACTTTGAACACCTCTGTTTGTTTTTCCTGTTGCAGCAGTGGCCACGATCTCTCTTTTAAGATCGTTCTTTTTTCGCTGCTACTCCCCCCCCCCCACCCCGCTTCGGAATTGCCTTCCTTCATTTCTCTGATATGGCCATGCTTTCTTTCTCTTCTGTGCTATTTCTCTGCCTACATGCTGTGACTTCTATCTTTATAACAATTTTAGTTTTTATTGATTTCTCAAGTTTATTTCACTTTTCCTTCCTGCTGTTTCTGTTCTCTGTATTTTTCACCCTGCTGCCCAGCTCCATTCGCTGCCTATTTGGGTTTTGTGGTTTTCCTCGTCCTCAGTTGCCTGCTTGGGCTCCAGCTCTCTTAGCTCCTGTGTTGCCATATCCATGCCGTTCCCCAGGTAGTGGTGTCTGACTCAGTGGGGACACTTCTAGCTGCTACTTGTTTAGGATGATAGAAAAGGGACAAAGGGCATCTAGGAGTGCTGTGCGTGCTTTCCCTTAGCCTTTTGAGCTATCATTGCTTATTAAAATCCAAGTGAATTGGAGGTGGGCCGGAGGCCAAATACCTTTATTTGTGGAAAGATGAATATGTGCAGAAATCAAATTACTAGCATCATAAATATGAGACAAAAATGATGAAGATAATGGAAGGGAGGGGCAGGGAACCTTCTTGGTTGTTTTGAGTGTATTGACTAGAATTTTTTTAGTTGGTAGGAAAACTCCTATTAGTAATTAAAAGTGACTGAAGGCACAAGAGGGAGAGAAGGTTCAATCATGTGTCTAGATGCCTTCTCCCCTTCTCACGGTGCAGTTTCAGCTGGGCATCCAGGCATTCTGGCCAGCCGTCTTCTTCCCACCAAAACCTAAGTGTCTGATTTCCTACGGATCAGATGCTTAAGTACCACATTGTTTTGGCGCATTTGTCTCTGCTTGGTTTGAAGTAATCAGATGATATTTGTCCTAACGGTTTAACAGGCTGATGCATTCCCTATGTCCATAAAGCCTTCCAGGAAATGAGCTGGGAGCAGGGAGAGGTAAGAAAGCACGCCTGAGAAGGAAACCCTCAGTCAGGGCCCCTAAAAACCATGTGATCAGGAGGCTGACAACTAAGTTGCCAAGTAGGTGATTCTTCGACAAGTAGGACTGCCAGTCTTCTGACCTGATCTGTATTCTGACCCCAAGGGTATCAACTGCTTTCTTGAGATTTAGTTTTTAAGCAGTTAATACATATTGGTGATATTGTGGAGATAGATTATAACTATGAAAATGGAAAGTCAGCCTCCTTGGGACACATACCAACCTTGGCTCAAATGTTCAACTGTGCTTTTTTTAAAAGAGGAAAGTAAAATTTCATTTATTATTATATATACACGATTATTTTCAAGTTCTGTAAACAAACAGCATTAGGTCCCTGCCCTGAAGGGAATTTTTCATGTCTGAATCCTTGCCTTCTTAGGTCTGTTTCTAGAATTTAAAAATAAAAATAGGAAACTGATTCTACATGAAAGGTGTTGACATGCTTGTTTGTCATTAAAATGCTAGAGTCTACCAAAAAAATAACTGCTGTTGGATTTTGTCTCAAATAGAAAAGGTTTTGCTTGTACATTTTTGGAGTTATTTTGTGAAAGATCTAAAACTCTGGTGAAATATGTGACATGAAAAAGGATTTTTTATTTGGAATTTTTGAATTATTCATTTCCACATCATGTTGCTTTTAGCAAAATAAAATGTGAACTATAAATATATCATTTTATTTGATTAGGTTTAATATATTCTAGTAACACTGCTAAAAAAGATTGCTTTTTAAATTCTACTCAGATTGTAATAAATAAATGATAGATGTTATCTTTCAAACAAGAACAGAAATGAAACCATTGGGGACTTCTGTATTACACAGAATAATTTCTAAATTCGAGGAAAACGAATTTCCAGGGTTTATATTCAAATATCACTACAATAATCAGTCTTCTAAGAAATGCTTAAACTGCTGTTGAGAATATTATTAGTGACATGACTAGGTGTGTCCAGCTGGTGAGAAACTGGAGACAGATATTTAATAAGAAAATCAGAAAGATTTAGCACATTGTTGACATTTGCTTTATTTTCTTTCTCTCTAAATCAGCAATAATAATTCAGGTAAGTCAGATACTTCCCGAGGTGGGTGTACAAAAAAAGATCTCATAGTTTAGGGAAGTAAGGGGGGGAAAAAAAAAAGAATCTACGCTATGTAAATTTGAGGTATTATAATTATATTATTGTTCCATGTTGAATACATAAATAGCAGTAGCTAAATCCACAAACTAATATAAGAGCCGTTTCTTTGTAAGTCTACTTTGCATTATTTTGTTTATAAAATGGCAGCATTAAGAATTAGTTTATCACAAATACTCTTGAATACCTGCTGGGCTGAGGCTGATGCATGCAGGTCCACATCTTGTCAGCCACAGATAAGGCCGAGGGAGTCCATTTTGTAGCCACACAGAAGCACTATGAGGATAACACTTGTTTTCCCGTTTCCACTAGTGTGCTCTCATTCCCAGGTTGCTGTATTCCAAATAACAGAAAATAAACATGCATTTAGAGCACTAGTCCCTGACACATGTGAATGCTCCTTTGAGCCATCACATTAAGCAACTCTGCTACTGTGCAGAAGGACAAAATGAGCTTCAACTTATTCCTCAAAGCAAAAGAAATCCCAAGTGAAAGCAGTTGCAACTCCGCCCACACAATGTCACTTTCCTCTTCCAACAGTTCTCCCTTGACTTTTAATTGGGAAGGAAGTGGCCTTTCCCCACTTCACTGGTTAGGTGGTGCAAGGCTGGAATGTTGGGAAGGAGAGAGGCGACTTTTAAGTGTTTGGCTTCCCTTCCTTCCCCTACCCCAGCACACACAGCCATGTATACCCTGAACTCAAGAGCCTGTTGGTCAAGAACTTGGTAAAAATAAGTAATAATTTCTGCTCAGAAGAATACTCAATTCTGAAGCACTCCAGGTATTCATCTGAGTGAGAAGTGAGCTGGACAGGGGACCATCAGAGCAGTTTTCCAACGCCACTGTTCCATGTCCAAATTCCATTACAGCCACACATCTGTCTCACCTAGTCAGAATCCACAGTTGATTATTTGAGTGAGGTTGTCCACTTGGGAGAATAGAAGTAACATCATCACAGTCTACCCTAATTGGTAAGAAAAATTAGGGTGAACAATGATGACATTTACCTTGTTTTCCAAACTGGACTTACCCTAGACAAAAATTGAAGAAAAGAAAGTATATGCACTAATTACCTTTTCTCCGTCTTTCCTCCAGTGCCCATTTCTCTGCATCCTCAGGGCCACTAGAGGCTCACAACCCAAACTATTTCTTGAATGTCCAAAGCCACACACCGTGACTCAACCCCTAGATCTTCCATTTTGGGTGGCACATCGGGTTTGTCATGAGTCCCCACTCTCTGTCCTACATCCCAGTTTCTCAAGAGTACACCGTGTGACTCACTAGCCCATCCCATATGAATTTTAACTTGCTATATGATATAAGGCACTTAGCAAATATTAGTTCAGTGAATGGTGATTGGGTCCACTTTCATGCTCTCAAGATTGCATGTACATTTTGACATTTGCCTTTAGTAACATAAAGGGAAGAATGAAGAATTTCAGTCAAAGCCATCAAATAACATCTTCCCAGGTAAAAGAATCTGCTTGCTAATCCTTGAATTGTAGCAAACACACAATATTACTTTTTTACACTTTAAACCCAGCCATAATATTTAAATGTATTTACAATACCTCTAGTGATAGCAACAATAAGATTAGCTGACCCACACTGTACTCACACAACATAATGAACTCAGTTCTCATCTGCAGCACATTTTTTATTAGTTCATGGACTCAGAGGCAAAATTTGCAGCAGAGATTGTTCTGTTCATATTTGATTACAAGAACCATCGTAGTAACACGGCTATTGTCTTAATCTCATCTTTAAGAGACCGAATGCCACTTATGATTGTTCTTTATGAAATGAAATGATGGAAGTCTTTGATCTAAGTCTCTGTATGTGGTTATTTCTATTCTAGTCACTTGCAACCCATGAGGCCACAATAGAACTTGAAATAGAATCTTAGAGTGTATCATAGGTAAGAGAGAGGATGTGCTTCATGTCTCCCTGACTCAGCTGGGGCTTTCTGGTTTAGGCAAGAGGAAAAAGCTGGTAGTGATGGAGGGATGGATTCCCAAAGCCCCCACCAGCAGTTACCTCCGTGGGGTGGAAAGAATGTGGGTAACATTGTGTTCTAAGTGTAGCTTCTCCTCTTGAAAGTAGTCCTCTTGCAGTGATTAAATCAATGTAGTAAAAAGAAGAACCAACTTCTTATGCACACTGGTCAGAGTGATACCTATCTATTCCTGAGAAAACTTCTTGGATATATTTTATAACAAAAGAATAGTAGTGATGACATAGCTTTATCTATATCGCATTTCTGTGAAGCTAACTGAGTGAAAGGATAATACTGTACCCATGGTAGAAATCAGTGAAACACACAATTTAGGAATAAAAACTAGTGCTCATGTTTTCAGGTGGCCACCAAGAAGTTCTAATCTAAATATAAGAATAGCTGCACTTATTCAACTGTAACTACAAGTTACTCAGGAAGAAATGATCCTCAAGGGCCCTTTACAAGTGATTAAATTTATACAATACAATAGAGGGACATTTTCCTTGGTACAGTATACAACTTGTCTATGTATTATATTGGCCAGATGGTTGTCTGTCTGCCTGTCTGTCTGTCTTATCTATCTATCTGTCTATCTATCTATCATCCTTTTATCATTTGTTCCTTTGTACCTCTCCCTCTCCCTCTCCCTCCCTCCCCTCTAGTTTCACATGTTCGGTGGATTTCAATGTGTATAATATGTTTTGTTCATACCCACCCACCCCCATTACAGTAGGTAGTATTTTGGGACCAGGTTTTCTACTCAGACCAACTACTTTGATTTCCATCCAAGTTTTTATATGTATCAATGACTATCTCTTTTTATTGTCCACTATTAATCCATCAGATGTATATGCTATACTTCGTTTATCATTTCACCTATTGATATACATTTAGATTGTTTTCAGGTTTGGGCTATTATAAATGAAAAGCTCAGTTGGGAAACATTTACTTTAAAATGGAATTTCTTTTGTTTAATAATAGATGAATTATGATTAAGCCTGATGTTCACTGTAATATTTACTAAAATTGTGATAAAAAATTTTTTCCACTTTTCTTTCCAGATCCTGAGGAGAGCTGACAAAAATGGTAAGACTATACTATGGTTTCTATTTATTAATCTCAACTTTCAGACCTCCTTATAAAGAATAATAATAACATGTCCTAAAAATGGACATATAAGATGTCAATTTCCTGAACTAGTCACCATTTCAGGCAAGCTTATAGCTCTCGATATTCATGAGAAGGTGACAGAGAAATTCACTCCATTTCACAGGAAGATGGAATGAATATAAATTGCACCCTTGAAGTGAGGAACCCTGTTGTACTTAGGTTCTGGCTTTTCTCTTTAATATTTACAGCAATCATTTTCCAGCAATATGATGAATGCATTGAGTGTCATTTGTGTGCCAGGCATTAAGCTGTGTTTTGCATACATCCTATTCCAAGATTATTAAGATGTAAAGCTGCTCCTTGAACCCAGGTATATTTTGATACCAAAGTATAGGTTATCCACTTTTAACTTTAGAGTGGCCTTTGGGATGCTTCTACCCTCTAGAATAGTTGCCTGGAAACCATCTGATATCCACCAAATATTTCCCACTCCCATTTGAAGTGTATGTACTGGGAATGACCCATGTACAGAGGTGTAAGAAATGGCAAACCAAAAGTAAAAAATTGCTCTGAAAATTAAGTGGCAGCTGTACAAAGTCCAATTATTGGCTGTAATGAGCAATGTCTTTTACTCATTTACAGTAGAAATTTTGTTTTATTGAATACAGAATCAGCTATTAGGCTTATTCTGATGCTATAGTGTATTCTCTGTAGTGGAGCTATATTATTGAGAAGAGTTGCTTGACAAATTTAGGATACAAAATCATCTTTCCCTTTCTTTAAATCCCATTTCTCATCTATGGGGAAACATTACAGTTAGAGTTGAGAGCTGACAGTTTGAAGACATAGGGTGTCGTCGAGTTTGTTCTTAAGCCACCAGATCAAGAAAAGCTTGACTGACATTATATATCTTTTCACCTGAGAGAAAATGTATCAGTCCAAGAAGCAATGAAATAGAATCCCAAGTCCCAGTAATATTTAACTGTGCTTGGCCATCAGAATACTTTTTCAAATTATGTTATAGTGATTGACATATTACCAATTCAAAGATGCTTTTAAATTGCTTAACTTGAAGCATTTGATTACTTTCTAAGACTTTTTAAGAAAGAAATAATGATGTTATCATCTTGTCTTCTCTTCTGATCCTTCTGCATTTTGCCTGATATCCAGCCCCAGTGATGCCTGGAGGACAATAAAATAGCCCATCTGTCTTTGTGTCTTTTATATCAGCAGCTGTCTAAAGCTCAGAAATTCTTATCTCTACCAAGCTCCTGGTTCTCTCAGGCTATTCCTTTATTTCCTTGGACCCTAGGACTCTAATAATTAAAGATCATCATTATGCTTGTATCTATCACTCTTTTTTATCATAATTATCATACTCCATAGTCATAAAAAGAACCAAAATTATCATAGTCCATAGTCATGATAAAAAGCACCTGATAAACCAATTAATATGATTTAATGGCTGATGATAACCTCATATATTAAGCTACACAGAGTAGTCATGCTGGCAGCTCCATTTCCTCTGTTTCCTCATCTGCCCCTCCTCCTGTTATGCCTCTTCCCTTCTTACTCCCTTTCCTAATCCCTGATCCTACCATACTGTGAAAGCTACCTTCCCTTTCACTCTTATCTCATCAATATATACACTGTTCTGCAGACCACTGACACATGCCATTCCCTGAGCATAAGTATTAGTCACTTTCCCATTGTTGAGTCAAAATGCTCAATGCTCGAAACTTAAAGGAGGAAAAATTTACTTGGGCTCATAGTTTCAGAGTGTTCCATCCATGGTTGGCTGGCTCCAAGGCTGGAACAGCATGGTGGAGGGACATGGCCAGGGGGAGGGGGGAGCTGCTCCACCCATGATGTCTAGGAAGCAGTGAGAGAAGGGAGGAGCCAGAGACAGGAATACACCCTTCCAGGTCACAACTTAGTGAACCCCTCTACCACTCAGGCCTTACCTCTTAATAGCACATCCATCCACTAATGGGTATAGTGCCCTTGTGATCCAGTCACATCCTCAAAGTCCCATCTCTGAACACATGAGACTTTGGGGAACATTTTAGATATAAACCATAATAATATCCCTCCATCTGCCACACTTCTGTGATGCTCCCCTGCCTTGCCTTCTGCCTGCTGTAACTTTCTACTTTTAGTCAACTTGAGAACATGCATACATTTCTTACATTTTTGCTCAAAAGACCCCTTTTCTGGGAAGCCTTCCCTAGTATCCTTGACTGGGACCCATTCTCTCTCCTTGAGGTCTTAACCGTTCCAAGGATTGTGCTGGTGGTGGAACACACAGTTGTTTGCTGATCAGTCTACTTCTGTAAGTCAGAAATACCTTTCTAGGACAAGATACTTGTCTTGTGAGTAGACACTATGCTCAGCCATTACTAAGTACTCAATAGACGTTTGTTTAATGAATTTGTAATTGAGGATGTTTGACTCTCTTGTCCTTCTCCCTTCTATCTGTCTACTCTTCTTCCTGCCTTTTATGCCATTGTATTCTTCTCCCTCATTCTCAGTGTAAATTAGTGGGAAGATAGTGTCAGGCAGGTCTGGGCTTAAATCCTAGCTATGGCGCCTAGTAACTCCATGTATATCAGGGAGTTAGGATGTATAAAGAATGAGATAATGTATGTGAAGTCTCCAGGATAGTGCCTGACACATAGTAAGAAACTAATACTGAGTACATGAGCTGTTTTTTGTGCTGTGAAGCCTTGGCTATCTGGGAGTATCAGTGAGATTTCAGTAATTTCTACTGCAGTGGAATTTAGTGGAAAAAAATACAGCTGTTTGCCATATGTGCAAAATTGAAAACTTAAAAAAGAGATTGATCTAAGATAAATAAAAAAAAGCTAGCATCTTTCTGTACCATGTGTTCGTTGCATCTTTTTTGCAAATAAACAGCTGTTACATGTATTTGATCTCTAGTAACAGACCCTTGTGTCATAGAATCCCTTGTGGACAGTGTAATTGGTGATGGAATAATGAAGGGAATAAGAAGCAATAAACAGTAGGATAGCTATCCTGCCAGAGGACAGAATTAGCACTTGGACTCTGTCTGAGATAAAAGAGAAAAACTGCTGGATACATGGCGGGGGATACATGATTAGTGATTAGCTATAATAATGTGTCTTTGAGAGATTTTTTTCGGTTTGGTTATTGTTTTAAAATCATAGGCTAGGATTCTAGGCATAACGATAGACCTGAAAATAGAATTGCTTACGGGAGATGCTAGTGCTTTGATCCAAAGAGCCCAGAATTAAAACCAGAAATGCAAAATGCCTGAGAAAGCTTACTGACATGAGGATTGAATGAAAATTGAAATAGCACATCAGTATTTTTTAAATTTAAAAAGATTTTTAAAATTTAGACATTTTGCTTTAAAATACCCAAGTGGAAAGTAAAGGTTGTATATATTCAGGGTATGCATGATGACCTGATGTATATGTATATTAATGTATTAGTTAACATACACATTGCCATCCATGCTGTACATTAGATCCCCAGTAGTAGTTCATTTTATAAGTGAAAGCTTGTCTCCCACTTTAGCCCCTAACAATCACCCTCTACTCTCTGCTTCTATAAGTTCCACTTTTTTCAGATTCTACATGTATGTGAAATCATATATTTATCTTTCTGTGTTTGGGGCAAAAGATGTTTTTTAGCTTTAGTAAGAGGCAAAATACGAAGGCTCACAGTAGTGACAAACACAATCAAATTCCTCATGTTAATGTGCACTTGCTAAGATCCACTGCCATTCTTAGCAGCAAATAGGTAGGCTGTATGGGTGGCACTTTTGATCTTTGTGTAGTGACTGATCTTTTTAACTGACAGTTCTCAGGCCTGTAGTCTAATCTAGCAGCTTGTGCACTCTAAGTGTGTTGAGTGATCTCTGCAGTCAAGAATATTCAGTAAAATGTCTGCCATGACATAAATATTGGTGAATCTATTTGTGAGAAGTGCATAACCAACAATTTCACCTTAAAAACTGAAGAAACATAATCATATATATTTATGATCCTATTCAATGAAGCCCTATTGTTACATATCTGTTGTTTATTAATTAATAATACTGGCTAAAGTTTATGAAAGACATATTATCAGCAAAGTCCTAACCTAGTTGCCTTATATACATTGTCTTTAATCATTATAAAAGTCAACAGTTTAAAGCAATGAGAAGAACAAAGGATTTGAGGTCAAATAAGCCCCATTGTCCCAGATCTGCCTCTTTCTAGCTTTATAACGTTTATCAAGTTACTCAACTTCCCTGTGCCTCAGTTTTCTCATGTGTGAGAGGGGGATAATAATACCACTCTAATAAAGTTGTTTTGAAAGTTTAATGAAATTTCAGTTTATATCTCTAAAACATTTCTCCTGATCTCAAACATAATAATAATTGTTCAATTTTTTTAGTTACTAGAGAGGGTTAATAAATTTCTCTGGGTTATATTGTGTATTAACAGTAGAGCTAGAATTCATTTCACTTTGTTGTATATGCACATTTGTGTGTATTTTAATCTATAAACACATAAATATAATTGCAGTTATAATTTAAACATGTAAAGATCTGCAGTATGATGTTTTGGCTCCTCAATGCATAGAAATTTTATTGATTTAATAAGCTAAATGTTTCCCTGGTAATCCAAAAGAATTCTGACTGAATGAGTAATACGCTTGGAGAAAATAATGTTAGCAATGAAAAATCCTCACTAAAAAATACTTGATGTGCTATTTGAGTATTTGTAAATATTTTGAACTAAATCAACGTTGATTTATAATCAATAAATATTGATTTGATTATGTGAGACTTGAGAAAAGCTTTTGCATGTAGTTGCCCAAAGTTTTGTTTATTTTATTAACAGTTGAAAATATGATCTTAGGGTGGGCTGAACAAAGATTCTTTCCCAGAAGGCTGGGCTGTAGACCAGCAACTGTCAGAGGATCACAGAGGTTTTTGATCCTGT